TCAACAATTGTGCTGGCATAACTGCATGTCAACATGTAGAAGATTGCAAATAGATCCATATCTGTCACCGTGCATAAAACTTAAGTCCAAGTGGATCAAATATCTCAACATAAATCCAGTTACTCAGAACCTGATAGAAGAGAAAGTAGGAAGTAGTCTTGAATGCATTGACACCAGAGATAACTTCCTAAATAAAACACCAGTAGCACAAACACTGAGAGCAACAATTAATAAATGGGACCTCTTGAAACTAAAGAAGCTTTTGCAGAGCAAAGGACACTGTCAATAAGACAAAATGACAGCCTACAGAATGGGAAAAGATCTTCGCCAACCCCATGTCTAACAGAGGGCTGATATCCAGAATATACAAAGAACCTAAGAAACTAGACATCAAAATACCAAACAGTCCCATTAAAAAATGGGCTATAGAGATAAACAGAGAATTCTCAACAGAAGAAGCTAAGATGGTTGAAAGACATTTAAGAAATTGCTCAACATCCTTAGTCATCACGGAAATGCAAATTAAAATGACTCTGAGATACCTTATTACACCTGTCAGAATGGCTAAGATCAAAAACACTGAAGACAGCTTATGTTGGAGAGGATGTGGATCAAGGAGAACACTCCTCCACTGTTGGTGGGAATGCAAACTTGTACAGCCACTTTGGAAATCAGTATGGTGCTTTCTCAGAAAATTAGGAATCAATCTCCCTAAAGACCCAGCTATAACATTTTTGGGTATATACCAAAGGAATGCTCGATCATACCACAAGGACACATGCTTGACTATGTTCATAGCAGCATTATTTGTAATAGCCAGAACCTGGAAACAACCTAGATGCCCTTCAACTGAATAATGGATAAAGAAAATGTGGTACATATACACAATGGAGTACTATTCAGTAGAGAAAAACAATGACATCATGAGGTTTGTAGGCAAATGGATAGAACTAGAAAATATCATCCTGAGTGAGGTAACCCAGACTCAGAAAGACAAACATGGTATGTACTCACTCATAAGTGGATACTAGATGTAAAGCAAAGGATAACCAGACTGCAACTCACAGCTCCAGGGAGGCTAGCAAGTAAAGAAGACCCTAGGAAAGACACAGGGATCACCCAACAACAGAGAAATGGATGAGATCTACATAAGCAAACTGGAGGTGAGGGGGGTAATGGAGGGCAAGGGTTGGTAGAAAGTGAGCTTAGGGGAGCGGGAGGTCCCAGCTGTATAGGAACAGAGTGAGAGAACAAGGAAAGAGATACAATGATAAATGAAGACCCCAGAGGAATAGGAAAAATCAGAGTGCTGGAGAGGTCCCCAGGAATCTACAAAGATGACTCCACTATAGACTACTGGCAATGGTCGAGAGGGTGCCTGAGCTGACCTACTCTGGTGATCGGATGGTTGAACACCCTAACAGTCATGATAGAACTCTCATCCAGTGACTGATGGAAGCAGATGCAGAAATCCATGGCCAAGGCCCAGACAGAGCTCCAGGACTCCAGTCAACAAGAGAGAGAGGAGGGATCATATGAGCAAGAGATATCGAGACCATGATTGGAAAAAGTTCAGAGACAAGTAGCCAAACTAATGGAAACACATGAACTGAGAACCAATACCTGAGGAACCCCCATGGAACAGGACTAGGCCGTCTGGATAAGTGAGACAGCTGATGAGCTTGAACTGTTCGGGGGGCCCCCAGGCAGTGAGACCTGAACCTGTCCTTAGTGCATGAGCAGGCTTTTTTGGAACCTAGTGCCTATGCTGAGACACTTTGCTCAGCCTTGGTGCAGGGAAGAGGGGATTGGACCTGCCCCAACTGAAGGTACGAGGCTCTGCTGACACCCCAAGGGAGACCTTGCCTTGGAGGAGGGAATGGGGGGTGGGGGTGGAAGGCTGGGGGGTGGGAGGAGGGAGGACAGGGGAATCCATGGTTGATATGTAAAATGAATAGAAAAATCTCCTAATTAAAAAAAACTAAATATTCCTATTAAAATATAGACAGTTACATTAAGAGTAAATAGTTGAATAATATAAGTACTTATCTAATATTCTAATTTCTGTCATACTGACACAGTGCAACATTGATAATATTCAATAATATTTTAACCACTAAACACAATTATTTTCATTAAAGGAATTCTAAACAAAAGTTTGTTTTTAAAAATGAAACAAAATGTAGTCACTTCAAGAATTTTAACAAAAATGTTACATGACATTTTTGTGTGGTTTCACACAAGTCATTAGAACTTGAAAAATGTATTGATTACACTAACATCAAGTTAATCTCAGTTGATAATGTTACTATGAGTTTTATAATGTTTTCATGATTTTTCCATAATATGTGTGATACAATACGGTTATGAGGAGGAAAAATACATATAATATAATTTAATCTGGGTGTAGCAGCCTCCAGCAGAGAAAGAGAGAGAGAGATTTAAAAATCTACCCAAGGAAACACCCAAACAACCCTAGCTATTGCCAAAGCTACTGATGGCTTTCCACTAACTGACAGTGAGGCTTTATTGCTGAACACAACACATACACACTCACTGAATGTGAAGAAGTTGGGCTGGTTCCTATATAGAGACTTCACTTCTACTGACTGGTGTTCATGATACTAGAAGATACTGCTTGCTACTACAGAAGAAATGTAAACACCAACCCAGCAAAAACGGTGACCTGCTTGCAAGATATTCTGGTGCAAACAGTGACACAAAGCTGTGCGAAAAACCAACCAAAATCTGATTAAGGTTCACTCCATGAGATGGAACTCTTACACAATGCTGCTTGATGACCAAGAACATGAGACTAGCTAGGCCAGAGACCTAGGGGAAAACCAAACACTAGTGTTCTGCTAAAAGACAGAGCAATAAAATGACTCATGAAAGATATTCTGCTATACTCATAGATCAGCATTTTGCTCAGCCATCATGAGGTAATCTCTTTGCATCAGATGAGAACAAATACAGAGACCCACATCTGGACAATGTGCAGAGTGTGAGAGACCTTGGAACATTCAGTCCTAAACAGGACATTTCCATCAAATGTCTCCAGTCAGGCCTCAGGGAACTCTGCAAAAGAGAAGACAAAAAGAGTGTAAGAGCCAGAGTAGATGGAGGACACCAAAGAATCAAGGCCTTCTGGACTCAACAGGGCTTGCTCGCATATGAAATCACAGAGAGTGTGAGGCAGCATGTGCAGGGCCTGCATGGGGCTACACCAGATAGAATACTAGAACTGAAGGGAGAAATGGACATATGATCCCCTACCTAACCCAAAGGCTACCTCTAATTGGTAATTAGAAATTACCTTGTAAATGAAAATTTAATTTTCTCCAAAGGAGTCACACCGAGGAAACAAACCATTCTTAAGTAGGGCCCATGCCTAGATGTTGAGGGCCAACATAAAACAAATTCCACAGCACCTTTGGAGGGTATTTGTCTCATAATATTAAGTCAGGTTTAGTTTTCTTTTTGTTTTGTTGGGTTTTTTTAATTTATAGGTCCTTTTGCATGTATATTATGGTTTCCAGTTTTGGCTTTTTATGGAATTCCTGTATGTAATAATGTGTGTATCTCTGCGTCTATATGCACTTATTGTGCTTTTTCTTTGGCTCTTTTCTTCTTTGGTCTTTATTTCTGTTATGATTTATTTGCTTTTGATTTATATTATATTATATTATATTATATTATATTATATTATATTATATTATATTATATTATATTATATTAATTACCCCTTAGATGCCTGTTTGTTTTCTAAAGAGAGACAACTAGACTGTGGATTCAGAGGGGAGGATAGATGTGGAAGAATTGGAAGGTGTAGAGGGAGGGGAAGCTGTAATCAGAATATATTATATGAAAAAGTCTCTTTCAGTAGAAGAGAAAAACCCTCTAAGAAACTCTTGTAAGTGGAAGCTTGGTGATTAATTTTCTCACCTTTCTAGAACACATAGCATTCTTGTGAGATACTCAGAAAATGACATACTACACAGCCCACTTAGTTGACCACTATGTCCTTTCAACAAGAACCCAAAGTGACCTACATTGTAAAGGTGTGATGAGATAAACTGATTTCAAAATCATTCAAGTATGAGAATTTCCTGTTCAACCTTCAGTGACACGTTGGTGAGAAATCTCCCTTTCCACTCTTGACTCACTCTCAGCCTCACGGTGCAGCCTGTTCAGTTCACCATCACTGTTGTCCTAGATTTCTGTGACTGACTTTCACCTTTTGGTGCTCAGCTCCCACAGGCCTCCTGTGAACTCCACCCTCACTACAGGAGACCTGGCTTTCTGGCAACAGAGGGAGCTTGTCACTGCTCCCTTGTCTCCACCAGCCCAGTCAGTTGAGGGGACACTGTAAATGCTACATGTGGAACAACTGAGGCACAGTTCTGCTGCAGGGAATCAAACTGGAATGTGGATGCCTCTAAACAACCCAGAGAAATCCAAGCGCATGGGACACTGGAGGATTGTCTCAAAGTTCTGTCCTTGTTGTCTGTGGAGAGTCAGTCACCCACTTGTGCTTGCATTTCTTCATCAATATAATTAAACCTACAGCCTCTAGAGACCTGATGATGAAGTGTGGATTTTAAGTGTTCCAATTTGTGCTCTATGTATCTTTGGCGAAAAACATATTGATTTATCCCAGAGGGCACGATTGAGAGCTTGACATGCCAATCTGCGTATTAACTGCTTTACATGCTTTATGTTATATATACTTGAACTTAGATTTTAGAAGAATAAATAGAGCTATTAGATTCCAAATAATAACATTTTAACAGTCACATGTTGCAAGGCTCAAAGCCAGAATTAATTTTAGATTTTTTTTTTAACCATAACACATGAGTTCAAAGCCCAAGGTAAAATTAGGTATTTCAACTGTACAAAAGCTCCAGTTCTCCAGGCTCCTCCTTTCGTGATTGCATCAGGATGTGTAGCTTCTTAAGTAGAATCACCATAGCACATGTCACTGGGCTGTAGTGTGAGTCATGAGTCATTTGCTCAGAACTGAAAATGCCTCAGGACCTAGGGAAGCAGCAAAGGAAACCCAAGGCCACTCACAGCTCCATTTCAGTAACCCAGCAGGAAACCAGCTGATGGAGTTCAGCCTTCAAATTGCTTCCCAGAAGCAAGTCGAGATCAGCAGGCACTGCCACTGCAAAAGTAAGGCATTTGGATGGACCTTTCAGTGTAGCTGCTCTGGGGTGCCAGCTGACATGCAGTCAGGAATGGGCTCCTTCCTGAAAGGAAAGGAAACCTTAACTTGGCCCATGGTGTTATAATTTAAGATGTGAGCACAGTTTTCATTCAGACATTGTTGCAAGAATATATGATCATTGTGTTCAATGAAAATGCAATGATATTGCCTACAGACCAATTACAGCATAGAGGAGGGCCTGGGGGCTGTGTTTCTTCTTCTGATTCTCCGAGTTCTCTTCTGTGTAAACCCTGTGAACATCTGTGTCCATTTTCTCTCTCATCACTTCCATTTATCTTTGCAGAATTTTTATCACCTCCAGAGAAGCTCATTTCTGGGATCCTGGGCATCATCTGGTTTGCCTTATTGGTCGCCTTGGTGATAACAACCAGAGTTGTCTCTCCATGTAAGCATGATTTTGAGAGATTATAAAGGAGCTTTCCTCCTTAATAACAAAGCATCTTTCAATGCTCCTTCCTAGTAAGGAAAAATAGATTTTACTTTCAAGTACATATGTGGATTAAATGTGGAATGGTTGTTCTAATTTTGTCAAAGTTATAAATAACAGGGTATTATAATATGTTCGCTTTTAAGTATAGTGATTATGACTTCATAATTCAACAACACAATTTAGAATACTTTACTAAGAAAAACAAATTAAGTTTTGAAAGTGCCCCCTTCCAATTGGTTTTACTGTGAAGATGCTGAACTATTGGATTTCACTGAACTAATTTTCTCCAAAGTTTTCACCATATTATTCATAATACAGTAATTGCAATTGTATTCTATATTACTCTAATTCAAATAGTACATAAATTTCAAACTAAGGGATTAAAATTGTTATGATTATTTAGATGTCAAATTTACTAAGAATTACTTTAACTCTCCAGCTATTGAAGCAAAGGAGAAGATACACTTCTTCCTGACTACAAGTCAGAAAGGAACACCTCGATTGTACAAGTTCTGATGCTTGTACACATTATATGCTGTGCCTAACTTAAGCCATGTGATGACAGTAATATATTTCTGGGAAGAGAATAATCTAGAGACATGAACAGTAAATTCTCATAATAAACATTAACGGATGATAGTCCCTTTTGTCATGAAATAAATGATCATGTAAAATAACTATGCAACAGTTTTGATAATTGACTTTAGTTTCCTCTTGACAAACTATGATAGCTCAGAAATGAATTCTGTCTTTTAGAATAGAGGTTGTATTCAGTGATTTTGAAGAAAAATTTGGGGAGAGAATTTGGTTTTGGTTTATATTCTTTATATGGACATATAAACTATGGACCAGAGCTTGATGAACTGCTTGAGTGTGTTTGAATGTGCATTTTGTTTTTTATGAACCAGATTCTGGGGTGCATAGCTATATTTTTTACATGGATGTTCAAAACTATGCAAACATGTAAATTAATTTTCATTATTAAGTTCATATTGCTTCTATGAGGGGGAGGGGCTTGGTCCTGCCTCAACTTAGTATGCCAGACTTTGTTGACTCTCCAAGGGAGGCTATAACCTCTCTGAGGAGTGAATGGGGATGGGATTGGGGAGGGGCTGGAAATGGAAAGGGAGGGGGAACTAGGATAGGTATGTAAAATGAAAAAAAACTTTTTGTAAATAAATAATTTAAAAAATGTTTAGCAAAAAAAAGAACAAGCAGAAAGAACAGCAGCTTTTAATTTAAATTTTAAAGTTTATATTTGGATTAAATGTGGAATGATTATTACAATTTTTGTCAATATCATGAATATCAGAGCAATTATATGAAATGTTTACTTTTGACTTTATCAATGATTTCATAACTCAACATAGTTTAGAACCTTGGAAACCCTTTATTTAGATACTGTTTTGAAGGTGATTTTTACATAGGTTATATGATAAAAAATGTTGAAATTTGGTCTTTCATTAAAGTAGTTTTCACCATATTATTTTTTGACAATTTCAATTGTATTCCACTGTACCCCAATTAAAATAGTACATCAGCTTCAGACAAAGAAACTAAAATTGTTACAATATTTTGCATGTTTATTTTCATAAGAATTATTTTAACTCTCCAGATTCTGAAGCAAAGGCACAGATCAACTCCTCCCTGACTAGAACCCAGAAAGGTACACCTCGTTTGTCAAAGTCCTGATGCTCGTACACTTTATATTCTGTGTCTGACTAAAGCTATGCAGAGGTGATAGTAGATTTCTAGGAAAAAAAATAATCTAGAAATGTGAGCACTACATGTTCATCACTAAATATTAAGGATGATAGCTTTTGTGTCCTATAATAAGAAAACTCAAATAAAATAACCATATAAAATTTTAGTAATTGGCTTAATATTTCTACTGGTGGACTATGATAAGACAGAAATGAACTCACTACTCTAGAATAGAGCTTATGTTCAGTGACTCTGAAAAATGTGTAGGGTAAAGACTTGTTTATTTAGTTTAGATAGATGAATAAACACAGGGCCAAAGGGCAGACTCTTTTCTTTGTGAGCTTGAATGTACATTTTGTTTATATTTATCAGCCTCTAGGCTGTGTAGATACATATTTTACATAAATGTTCAAACCTAATAAAACATATTAATTTTCATTATTAAATTCATGTTGCTTCTAGATAATAATCTTTCTCCATCACATCCTTGTGATCATTGTCCAAAAGGGTGGGTATCATATTCTCACAATTGTTATTACATTGGTGTGGAGAAAAAAACTTGGAATGACAGTTCAGTGTCCTGCACTTCCAAAAACTCTACTCTGCTTTACATAGATAGTGAAGAGGAGAAGGTAAGATCTGACATGTATCAGTCATTGCTTGACCGTTCTTTCTGTCAATGGGAAGCATGTAGAATCCATTCATATTCTTATACATGCTTCATGTATTTCAACTCTGTATAATATTTCATTGTTTTATTTTACAATGTTTTATTTATATTTGTATACTGGTAGTGAATACTTATTTCCAGATTTATTTATTTATTTTGTGAAAGCCATTCTTGTACAAATGCATTTAGTCTGAAATTAACTTTGCCATTTAATTTTAACATACACAAAAATATCTATATATGTATGATAGTTAAAATTGATCAGAAAGTGACTAGGTGGAGGTAATTATAGTCAGGTAATGATAACTAGGCAGACATTTCCATTTCATTAATGTCCCTTCCCTATGCATATTCTCATCAGGTCTTCTTGCACAAAATCATTTTTCTGACTTTTGGTATAATTAGCCACACATGCCTTTGAATTTTATAAGACAGGGATCATACATATGTATACACTGTTACATAGACATCCTGTAACTCCATGGTTCTCAAACCACTCACTGTGAGTGAGAGTGGAATGGCCATCTCAACAGGGGTCACCTGGGACCATAGGAAATATCAGATATTTACATTATAATTCATAATAGTAACATTATACTTATGAAGTTGACACAGAAATAATTTTATGGTTTTCACTCACCACAACATGAGGGACTGTGTTAAAGTTTTATAGCATTTGGAATGTTAAGAACCACCACTATCACTCTTTCATGGTCTCAGAGCAAATAATTGATCCATTTTACTACATTGATCTGCAGTTTGCTAATTTTAACTGCCCTGTTATGTAAGCATAACATTCTAAAACCCACTCTATCTGGTGGGCTTGAAGGAAGAAGTGAGTGTCATACCCTCAAAGACAGAGGCATTTACATGGCCATCTGTACTCACGGGACCCCCTACACCAGCTCCCACTCTGGTGTCCTTGAGCAAGTAGGAGAAGCACTTCCTATGAACAATCACCCCATCAGGTGCTTTCAGCCTCTCCCAGTGCTGCTGACCAGTCTCTCTTACACATGGAGGAGGGAGCTCACATAATCCACCTGTTGTTGCTTGGGTTCTGGGAGACAGCATATAAGGTCATTTCCTTCCATTGGACAAGGGACACAGGATGTCCTGCCATTCTGCAGTCCCTCATCTTCAGGTGTTATGCCCTTTCAGCTTTTTGTTTCAGGTCTTCAGAATTCGTTGCTTGTGTCTTTTATTATTCTCCAGGTTTGCCCTTGTATTTATAACAGCAACCAAGAGAAGCATTAATGCTACATTCTCATTAATCCATCCCTACAGTGATAAACAAGAAAGTAGAGGCTCAGCTACTTAATGATACTATGGTACCCAGAAAACAGAAATTTTGTCCACTACATCACTTTTTTCTTCAATAGCAAAATATAATCTTCCTTCTAAAACTGAACTGGAAGCAACAGCAGAAAAATTGATTGAGCACAGCACCCAGAGAATTTCATGCATAGTTTCTGGAAATTTGCTTAAATCTTTGCTTTGTTTGTGTTGTTAGAATGAATATCAATTAAATTATATAAATCAATTGCCATATTCCCAACTAATAGAAGAATAAAGCTTCTAACTATAAACATGTAAAAGTTAATTAAAATACTAGATCAAAATTAAACAGATATGTGAGTGTTTTGACAATGTAAGAAGTGTTCTCAACTTTAATAAGTTGGTTTTTTATTGGACAATAAATATACTACGACAGAATACATTTTGTTTAAAAATAATAAGAACCTTCATACTGATGGAAATTCCTTGTTTCTATGGTAGGCCTTTCTGCAATCTCTCTCACAGGTCTCTTGGATTAGAGTCTTTAGGAAGAGAAGAGATCAACTCTGGGTTTCGAAAAAAGACTCAACCTTCAAACCAAAGTAAGTTTTCATGAGTGATGCAATAGACAAGAAAAAAAAATACAAAGAATCCCTCAGAAGAATGGTGTCAGTAAATGAAGTTGAATTATGAGCAGGCAGAATGATGCTGACCTTTGTCACCTGCTCATGTGAATCTGAAGAATGGGCTACTTGGCTTTTGTAATAATAAGTCCTTACTTTGCCAACTTGCATGAGATCCTTCTTTTGATTTGTTAAATGAAGACCACGTGGGAATAGGAAGAAGCAAAATGCTAGAGAGGTCCCCAGAAATCCACAAAGATACCTCCACAATAGACTGCTGACCATGGTCGAGAGACAGCCTGAACTGACCTACTCTGGTGATAGGATGGCCAAACACCCTAACTGTCGTGCTAGAAATCTCATCCAATGACTGAGGGAAGCAGATGCAAAGATCCACGGCCAGACCCCAGGTGGAACTCCAGGAGTCGAATTGGCGAGAAAGAGGAGGGAATGTATGAACAAGAATTGTAGACACCAAGGTTGGAAAAAGCACAGGGACAAATAGCCAAACTAATGGGAACACATGAACTATGAACCAATAGCTGAGGAGCCCCCAACTGGATCAGGCTCTCTGGATAAGTGAGACAGTTGATTGGCTTGAACTGTTTGAGAGGCCCCCAGGCAGTGGGACCTGGACCTGGCCTTAGTGCATGAGCTGGCTGTTTGGAACCTGGGGCTTATGCAGGGACACTTTGCTCAGCCTGGGAGGAGGGGACTGGACCTGCCTGGACTGAACCTAGGAGGTTGAGCTGAATCCCCAGGGGAGTCTTTGCCCTGGAGGAGATGGGAATGGGGGGTAGGTTGCCCGGGAGACAGGGGAATCCGTGGATGATATGCAAAATTAAATTATAAAATAAAATAAAAAACTTAAAAAAATAGATGAACTCATTTAGTAGATTATCTACATAAAGTATATCTGAATTTTGTATTTCTACCAACCCAGGATGAAAGAGTTTTCCTCCATGGAAGGTAACTGTGTCATGCTGTCATCTTCTGGCCTCACAACAGATGACTGTACAGCTTTACATACATATCTTTGTGAGCGTAATTTTAACAACTAAAACACCTGCACTTGGAGTCTGCCAGGTAATGTTACGTTTCATAACCTGAAAATAGATTTATGGTTGTGTTCATCTTAAAGTGAATTTTATTACTTGCTCTAATAATAATTTTTTTCAGAAACAATCATTGAAGTATAATAAACACACAAAAGTACAAATATTGCTTTTGTATCTGAATCTTTTTGCTCAGATACTTTTCATAATATTAAATTTTATAATAGATTACATATATACTAGGAGAGTTTGTGCAGAAGCACTGTTGCATTTCAAATTTACCATTCCATGTGCTGTCACAGGACTTTGTAGAATTGCTTTGCTGGAAGCTGCAGGTTATAAATTCAATTCTTTTAGTACATTTAGGATACTCATTTATTAACTACTTTCCATATATATGTGCATACCCTTCTTCCTTCCTTCTCAGCTCCCCTTCCCGTTCACTTCTCCTCTGTTTCTATTCAGAAAAGGCAAGTCTCCCTGGGATATCAACCAAACATGGCATATCAAGTTGAAATAAAACTAGGCACCTTCCCTCATATTAAGAATGAATGAGGCAACCAGTATGAGGAAAAAGGCCTCAAAAGTAGGCAAAATTATCAGAGTCCCACAAAAAGACCAAGCTACACAATTGTAACATATATGCAAAGTACCTAGGTCAGTCCCATGCAGGCTCCCTGACTGTCAGTTCAGGCTCAGTGATCCCTTGAATCCAGGTTAGTTGATTCTATTGTTTTTCTTTTGGTGTCCTTTTTCCCTTTTGGCTCCTACAATTCTTTCTCCCCTTCTCCAGAATGATTCATCAAGTTCCGACTAATGTTTGGCTGTGATGGAGGCTCTCTGATGGTGATTATGTCAGGCTCCTATCTATGAGTATAGCAGAATATTATTAAGAATCATTTCATTGACTTTTTTGCCAGTCATGTTTGGTTCTATTTTAGTTATCCTGGTTGGTTTTTTTTTTTTGTTGTTGTTGTTGTTGTTTTTCCATATGAAGTTGAGTATTGTTCTTTCAAGGTCTGCAAAGAATTGTTTTGGAATTTTGATGGGGATTGCATTGAATCTGTAGATTGCTTTTGGTAAAATGGTCATTTTTACTATGTTAATCCTACTGATACAAGAGCATGGGAGATCTTTCCATCTTCTGATATCTTCTTCAAAGACTTGAAATTCTTGTCATACAGGTCTTTCAACTGCTAGGTTAGATTTACCCCCCAAGGTATTTTATATTATTTAAAGCTGTTGTGAATGGTGTTGTTTCCTTGATTTCTTTCACAGCCCATCTGTCTTTGGTATCTAGGAGGGCTACTGATTTGTATAGTTAATCTTGTATTGAACCACATCACTGAAGGTGTTTATCACCTGTAGGAGTTCTCTTGTTACTGATTTTAGCAGAATTGCTTTGAGTTTCTCTCTATTTAATTTGCTGTTGGATATCAGCTTGCTGAAAATTGTCTTTATTGTATTTACATATGTCCCATGTATCCCTGATCTCAACAAGGTTTTTATCATGGAGTGTTGGATTTTGTCAAAAAATTTTTTGGCATCTAATGAGATGATCATGTGAAGTTTTTTTTTTTTCTTTCAGTTTGTTTATATAGTGTATTATTACATTGTCAGATTTTTATATGTTGAACATCTCTGCATCTCTGAGTTTAAACCTGCTTGATCCTGGTGGATGATCTTTTTGATGTGTTCCTGGATTCAGTTTGCATGTATTTTATTGAGTATCGTTGACGAGGGAAATTGGTTTGTAATTTTCTTTCTTTGTTGAGTCTTTTTGTGCTTTGGATATCAGGATGACTATGACCTCATAAAATGAATTTGGAAATGTTTCTGAAATGATTTCTTAATATAGTTTCAATAACCTAGGTCTGTAAACCTTATAGTAAAAAAATTTTAAATACAGACATAAAATATTTACACCTTCTTAATAGTTTTTCAGGGGCTTTTAATCAGTTTCATGTGTCTTTTGTTTCTTCCTTTTGTTTTTAAATTCTCTTTCACATTTATATATATCGTGTGTGTGTGTGTGTGTGTGTGTGTGTGTGTGTGTGTGTGCACGCACGCACATGTGTGTGGGCACACATGCCCATGCCATTGCACATATACAGAAGTCAGACTAGGGAGAGTTTACACGAGTTGGTTCTCTCTTTCTACCATGTCGGAGTCAGGATTCAAACTCAGGTCAAAATATTTGGTGGCAAATACTTTTACCTGCTGAACCATCCCACAAACCTTTGTTTTGTTTTGGAGACAATGTATCCCTCTGTAGCACAGACTGACATCAAACTGTCACCAATCATTCTGTCCGTTGAGAGCAAATCTTACAGGTGTGTGTCACCAAGCTTGGCCTTCTGTCTCTTCAATGAAAAACTTTGGTCCTTATTGACAGTTTTTGTTGCAATTTTGTTCTTGGTTATGATTTTATACAGTTTATTGTTGTCTACTTTCTGTTTCATTTGTTAAGAATTTCATCTTCTTTTGCTTTTCTGATTGTGTTTTTTTTATGGATTCATGTTCATATTAAAATCTCTCTTCTGTAATATTGCCTTTGAAGAAATTAATTTTTTTGTAAGACAAATTTTGATATATATTTTATAATTCATAATGGTGAAAAGCCATTATAATAATCTCTTTGTCCCATCATTATTTACAAATAAGCTTCAAATTTAGAAACTACCTACTTCAAAATTTTGATCATTTACTGATTTTTTTCAATAAAGTGAAAGGAATTTTCAATGATGTTGTCACATGGCTGTGGATATGGCTTGTGTGACAGAAGAACTTATTTTATGTTATATTTCTTTTTAAATTAATTTTAACTTAAATAGCTTCAGTTTGAATGAAAGCATGTAGTGGCTACAATGGCTACTGTGTAGAGAGCTCAGCTGTAAATACTTTCTAATTATACACTTGGAAATATTAGTATAGATCTGAGGAAATTTTCCACGTGGATCTAAGAACCTAAGCCTTCTGGGCTCACAGAGGTGAGTATGTGAGTAAATTCCCGTGTTTACTTATCCAGGTTAACTATTTCTATAACCTCACAGATTATTATATTTGCTGAGGTATGGTGCAGAAGTATCTAGGTCCTATTCTATTTGGGATTAAAGTCCTGTCTTCCAAGTCTATGTTTTATTAATTACTCATTTAATTTTATGTACACAGTAGGTAATGAAATACTATTAATGGCTGGCATGGCAATTTTGTCATTATTAAATACTCTTCTTCATCTCCAATAATAGTTATTGTCATCTTATGATAGTACACTATTTTTTATCATATTTTACTTTTATCTTTTCTTTTGCTTATGATGAGAGTTTCTTATTAATATAAGAAAGTTGAAATATAAACCAATATTAATTTAACCTGAAAACCATTTAGTATATATTTAATGTGTTATTAGGTTACTATATTTATCATTTGCATGCATATATAATTAATTCTAATTTTCATTTAATTTTAAACACTCCCATTTCATGAATTCTACTTTTTCTGTTGCTTTGTCTTTTCACAATATTTTCATTGATCATGTGCCATTACATGAATTTGCTAATTTTGCTAAAATTTATTAATTTAGCTTTAAATATTCTTTAATTTATGTGTCATATTTTTCGGTATACTTCTTTACTCATTAAAAATCTAATAGATTAGGAATTTTGCTCTTTTTCAAACAATCAAAAGTTCCAACAACCTTCTACTTTTACTGTTTATTCTACATTTTCTTTCTGAAATGCTATGATATACTTCCTGATGCTAAAAAACTTTTAAATTCAATATTTTGCCATCAATATTATATACCTTTACTATCTATTTAAGGACACTCAATAATCCCTTCTACTCTTCCCTTTTGTATTTCCAAGACTGTCACTCACAGGAAGAAGACTTTATCTTTAGAAGAACTTCAAATGTTTCCATTAGTCATAGTCAAGTGGTGACTGTATTTTTGCTAGTTCCTGAAAAATGAACTAATTTTGCCATCATAGTAAAACATACATTTAAGTCTTTGTTACTTTCAAATTATTCATCTTTAAGTGTCAGCATTCCTCTAATAAGAGCCAAAGGAGAGTTATTTTAACAGGACTGCTGTGGGATGTTCTGTATGGCAAATGTGTTGCTTTGATTGGTCAATAAATAAAACACTGATTGACCAGTGGCTAGGCAGGAATTATAGGCAGGACAAGGAGGAGAATAAAGCTGGGAAGTGGAAGGCTGAATCAGAGAGACACTGCCAGCTGCCACGATGACAAACAGAATGTGAAGATGCCAGTAAGCCACGAGCCACGTGGCAAGGTATAGATTTATAGAAATGGATTAATTTAAACTGTAAGAACAGTTAGCAAGAAGCCTGCCACGGCCATACAGTTTGTAACCAATAAAAGTCTCTGTGTTTACTTGGTCGGGTCTGAGCGGCTGTGGGACTGGCAGGTGAGAGAGATTTGTCCTGACTGTGGGCCAGGCAGGAAAACTCAAGCTACACAGGACTATCCTGAGAGACGGACAATTTGAAAAAAATGCAACTATCATTTTAATACAATTTAAAAAATAATTTTCCATATATTTAAAAAGATAAAATCTAACTATTATTGCTATATTAAATCATTTGCTTGGTTTTTATATTTTTGTTATATCATTGTCTGAACATAGATTTCATAGAGTTACATGTCAGAAAAGTGAAAGCCCATATCATTGTATATAATAAAAATATGCTCTCTATAGTATATGTATATATATATATGATTATATAATTTTAAACTTCAAGTCAATATCTGTACTAATAATAGATATAACTATATGACACAAGGAAAAGGAACATTGATGAATATGGCATAGTTTACATTATTTGACAGTTTTAAATCTTAAGTGTACTAATATGTAAGAGAAATTAATTGAGCATGTATAGAGAAACATATATGGAACACATAAAATAAGATTCCGTTTATAAAAATAAAGTATAATTAATAGAAATTTAGCCGTGTGGTGGTGGCGCATGCCTTTAATCC